TTCAACTCTTCGCGAACAGTCATTGCAGCAAAGCAAAAGTCTCTCGTCCAAAGCGGCAAAGGAAACAAGCCGCAAGCGACAAAATCTTTATCCTATGAGGACGAAGAGGCATTGTTTTCCAGCGGCCAGTTCGGAGATCACAACCCAGAGGTCCTGCAGAGAACTCTTTGGTGGTACATGTCCCTCCACTTCGGATTTTGTGCGATAGACGAAAGCCGCAAATTATGCTGGGGAGATGTGCAGCTGCAAACGGCAAAAAATGGTGATGAGATGCTTGTTTGGCTGAGTGAGCGCGGAACAAAAACTCGCACTGGCAGAGAAAAAGGCCACCAGAGAGCTTTCCAGCCGAAGATTTATGCCACCGGAGGGGAGCGGTGTCCGGTCAAATACTACAACAAGTTCATAGTTCATCTGCCCATGGAAATGAATTCTCCGGATTCACAATTTTTCCTGGCGATCAAACAGACGCGGGCGATCAATGAAATAGTGTGGTATAGAAAGTCTCCACTTGGTAAGAATCAGATAGGGAAATTCCTTCCTGTAGCTGCCGAAAATGCTGGAATCCATCAAGGTAGAGGAGCAAAAGTTTCCAATCATTCAGTCAGAAAGACCAGCATATCCCACCTCCTGGATGCAAATGTCCCAGAAAACTTTGTGGCACAGTTGAGTGGCCACAAATCCACTGAAAGCCTGTAGTCCTACAAAACAGCGAGCGAGCAGCATCAGAAAGCCATGTCGTTGACTCTCATCAGGTCGGTATCACAAGCTTTGGTGCCTACTTTTCCTACTTCGGCCAGTACGTCAAAAGATATCCAGCCTTCACCACCAGCAGCAAGCACATCCTTGGTTCGTGCCGCCGATGAAAATGCTGGAATGACGTGTAAATCTGACGTGTCAGCTTTTTTTTCGGGAGTCCGTGATATTTCCGGATGCAGCTTTAGGATTTACAACGGTCCTGTCACAATAAATCAAGGGAAAAAACAACAAATTTGTCATCGAGAGTGATGATGAAGATCGAAAAAAATGGACACTTGTTTGATTTCAAACATGCCGAACTCAACGAAAGCAATGTATAATAAATGTGGATTTCTTGTGTAAATAAACACACAATTTGACAGTTTGGTTGCATGTGTTTTTGCTAGTTGAAACGATTGATATTTGCATAAATTAAAAATAGTCATATAATAAAACATTTATTAACCTCGCTTGCTCGGTTAATAAGCCGTTATTATCAAATGACCAAACAACAACAATGACAGCGCCTTTTTAAATGTCACTGAACCTTTCCCTTAAAATACAGAAAATTATCAAAATTAAACATATGCTAGTGTTGAAATATATGAATTTACTTGACTGTAAGAAATAATGTATTCTTTTATAAAAATGGATTATAACCTTGAGCAGAGGTCACCAACACTGTCCCCTGAGCAGCCGTGCGAAGACTACTTAAGGTGCTAGATAAGCTCTTTAAAGTGCCCAAAAGGAGCCAATATTCAAAGAGATATGCTATAGACTCCGGTTTGGGAATAAGACAGAAACATGCCAATGTGCTCGACGAGGCAATGTTTGAAAACAACCACCACTATTATCTACTTCCCACATGGTTAATACATACAGTAAATCTGTAAGCTGGAGCTCACAGTTCAGTTCTGAGCCAGGACTGAGTCTAGAGGAGTCAGGATTAAACTAAGGAGGCATTTAAAACTGGGGTACCTCACTTTTTTGCTTAATGAATAATACTGTAAAATTTCTTGTAAGCAAATCAAACCGTAGCTGTGACAGCACAGATGTAGTTTATTAGAACACATACTATCTTTTGCATATTAAGAAGGAGCTGCTGTGAGCTGCTGATTGGAGGAGTAAGGTATGTCTACCTTTTTGTAATGTATGTAAAGCTTTTTTTATGGTTTGAAGTTGAGCAGCCCAAGTTTAACAGATTCCATCAATAAGTGGATGAAAAACATTCCAATTCTATTATTAGAGTATATCATAGTTGAACTTCAGATATTTATAATCCCAAGTCATGATAAAAACATTTTATTTTGTAGCGGCTATAACTTTCAGAAATAATGGTTTTAAATGGAGCCAGAAAGTGCATGATACTAAGTAAAGTAAGCAGTGCCGGTCATTGTGCACTGTTTTTGGACTTGTACTCTTCTGTTCAGTGAATTTTCTTTGGCGTACCCATCTGTGGATTTTATTTTCAGAGGTCTTTGTCAAAGTGAAAGAGCGCCTCCAGCGCCTTGGTCACAGTGGTCACTTTGAATTTGTTGAACTTCGTAGCTGTGTTCAACATTAGTTTTAGGCAGCTATTCCCAAACTCAGCAGACAGATGATGATCCAAAGGCCTCTCGAAAGCTCCACAGGGCCTCCAAATGATTTGCAATGGTTTTGAGGGGAGAAAAAACGGCAAATATGCATACTATTTGAAAGTTTATTAATCAAGTATCAACCAAAATGTTTGGAAGAGTATACACATTTCATACACACAAATATGTCATTTATCAACATGTATGGACATAGAACCATTGGTTCATAAGGGGCAAATTACCAATGTGTATTTTGCAATTCTTGTGTTTAAACTGTTTTATTCTGTTTTAAACTGTTTTAAACAGTTATATTCTCTGATCTGTGTTGGCGAATTAAATGGTTTTGTACAGTCCTCTGTTGTGATTGGGGGCAAATACAAGAATAAATTGAATTGAATCTTATATGTTGGCACAATTCTGACCTATTCTTTCCCTTGGGGCATGAGAGAAGCTCTGGTTTGACAAGGGAGGCCAAGGCGCTGTGGTATTAAGCTGAAGCCCAGATGCTGTTTGTCTGCCAGTGGTCAAATAATGTGGGCCGCTCCGCTCTGTAGCCCAGGCCTGATTACTGTTTTACTGGTCTGCTCTTTTTATAGGCACACAGACCCTGGGTGTGTTACACTGTCAAGTCATGTGATGTGCCTTTGTGTCTGTTCGGCTTTACTTGCAAAATACAGATTAAAGTTAAAGTAGGATCTAACTTGTCATGATCTGTTTCATTACTACAAGTATTCCTAATGTTGTAATTTAAAGAAGTAATGTCATGCTTTATCTTTGGCAATGATTCTGATACTATTTACTTTCTCATTTCATGATATAGAAGTGAAATAATAACTTAACAGAAAATATATGGTGAAACAAGTATGAAGGCTAAAAGATGCCACCCAATTCACAGAGCACCAGCCCCTCACTGATCCTCCTGCAAGCTATGAGTCCACAGGAGGACGGCTGCTTTGTCAGTGTGACCACAGCCTTGCTCTTTCAGCGAGGGCTTCAGGCAAAGTGGGGTTAAGTGTCTTGCCCAAGGACACAACGATTGCAGACCTCAGTGGGAGTTGGTGGAGAAGGTCTCTTCGTGGGCTCGAACCCACGACCCTCATGCTTAAAGGCCAATTATCTACCAACTGAGCCACTGTCGCCCCTGTTATTGATATATAATCCCAGTATTTTTATTTATTTATATATAATATATAAATAAATAAAAATACTGGTATTCTTAATTAAAGATACACCACCTCAAATACACCTTGGGGTAATAAGGCTAAACAGTTTAAAGTAGAGCTGTATTATATTTGTAGATTATAAAAAAAAGGTGGAAGATTACATTTTTTATGTGTGAATATTGTTGTGTTACATATAGGGCCTGGGCCTGGTTAAAACATGCACATGTTTCATTGGTTTCTTATGTTTTCTTTTGTTTCACACCTGTGAACACAACACGAACACATACCACTTGATATTGTCTGGTAATATGGGGCTTGTCAAATAAGTGGTTGTCAAGAAACCTGCTATAATTTGCTGTTATGAACAAGCACATGGGGCATTGTTTTCAAGTCTACAATTGTGTCCATTCATTCTCCACTAAACACAAGTTATGTCAGACTGTGCGAGGAGACATGTCTGAGTCATTCTTTATCTCAGCTCTGATTCAACTGGTGTTGACTGGAATTATTAATACATTGTTTGAACAAGAGGAAAGAAGTCTTTATACATAAATATTGTGTAGTGTAGTTATTCTTGTGTAGTGTAATTATTCAAAAGTCAAATCACAAGCCATTTGACAGTTCACCCTAACTACTATAATATAGTAATTTGGTATTATGGTGTCTCGATATTGACTGTAATCTGTTTGTTTTTTCATTAGAACATGACATACAGAAAACACTTTTTAAACCCCATTACAACGGCATCTATTATATTCCTGACACAGAAGTGATGCGGTATTTGTACTTAGCTTTCATCTTTGACTTTGAATGCCAGACCCAAAAAACATTCCCAAGATTTAAAATGTTTTTGCCTGCATTTTGCATGTTTTTCCCGTTGTTGTAAAACTCTATTGCATTTAATTTCCATGTATTTGAATGGAGCTGTCTGAGAGATTTCCCATGCTTTCAATGAGCCGCAGCATAGCATTCCTCTAGTTCATTGTTGTTCAAAAGCTTCTGGTGGTAATTAGTAACAGAGCTATCACAACTGACCCTTTGAGGACGTAATGAGCAGTACTGACCTAGTTGTCTTTACAATCAATGTTGCAATCACAATCTTACCATCATGCAGTATGGCATGGCATTAGAATAGATCAATTTAGTTACAGACCAAGCCAGATCTGTGGAGAGGAGACAAATATTTACAGTATTTGTCATAAATGTATATGTGGAGCTCCATGTTTGCTTAGAGAAACTGTTAGTGCTAACCAAGGAGTTTTAATCAGATATAAGTTAAGCTGTTTTATATGGTTTGTGCTGGTGATGGCACAGACTTTCAATGGTAGTGAGCTATGTGCTTTTAATGAGTACACACTAAATGTCTCAGCTCATGCACTGAAACTAGAACAATGGTGAGTTTCTGTTGCGTTTCCAATTAACATTCTGCAACTAAGTTTTGGCTTTGAGCTCTAACTTTTGCATCATTTAATAGTTAAAAGTATACAATATGCATGTTGATAATTATAGTCATTTTGTGTGACTTTAGGCACTCCTCAGCTGAGGTCAGGAAGAACTACGGCAACTATGGGATCTATCACAGTCGGACAAACTCCAATGCCTCGGCTTCAGTGTCTCTCTCTGTGGTAAGTCACAGATTACAGACATGAACTTCACATGAACCTAACAATGGATCCACCAGGAAGGTGCTACACATTAGGTACTGGTGATAAAACTATTTTTTCATGGAGTTGTATTCATGATGTCATCAGATAGAAATATACAGGATGAGGTAAGTAATTTAGTGTTTTCTATAATTTCAGCACCTTCTTTAATGATGGTTATCCTAAACATATTAAGAGCAATGTATATTTGTGAGGAATACAAATATACATATTTAATTATGTAGAAGTTTCAACATATGTGCTACATTTCAACCTTTTGTGAAAATATAGAACATTTTGTGAACTCAAAGAAATGACATTTACAATATCAACAATACATTTGGTCCGATCTTACCACTTCTACTCTCCATCTACTGCTAAAGTCTCTTATTTAAAGCTTACATGTATAATGAGTGAAGTCTTAAAAGGTCAAGAGGTAAAAGCAGACTCTTCCTCCTCCCACCAGCTCACACTCCTGTTACAACAGATAGCTTTAAACATCCTCTTTGCTGTCGGACTCGCTGCGTACGGTATTTTTAGGATTTGCATCACTGAAATTCTGCTCCATCACTTCCACAGAATCGGAAAACCCCTCCCACCTTCCTCCCCTCAGCCTCAGATCCTACATTTGACAATTGCAGGGAGCTAGCACAGCACAGCGTCAGAGCTTAGAGACAGACTTTTGCTAAACCCTGCCTGACACTCCTCTGACTTAACCGGCTTTGGGATAACTCAGCGTAGCGCGTTGCAGACTCAGATCGAATAGCCTCCCATCACGGACAGACTGCACGCTTTAGTTGTAGAAGCGAGTGAATCCTGATCTCTACATAATCCTTTGCCCATATATGTTGTGTATTATAAAGAAGTATTCCCCTGCCTGATTTTCTAAACTACCTTGCATTCACTTTATGCCTCTTGTTTTTAGGTGTCTACTATAAAGATGGATTAGAATTTGATACAATATCTATTTTGCAAGATTTTTTTCCATACTTAATGTTCTAAGGTCCTTATTTTTTAATGAATCGTCTGAATAGTTTAGAAATACAGTGGTGCACAAATAAGTGTTTAGTCAGCCACCAATTGTACAAGTCCTCCTTAGAAAAATGAGAGATGCCTGTATTTTTCATCATAGGTATTCCATAACTATGAGAGACAAAATGAGAACAAAAATCCTGAAAATAACATTTGATTTTTAAAGAATTTATTTGCAAATTATGGTGGGAAATCAGCATTTAGTCAATAACAAAAGTCTGTAATTTGTACTTTGTTATACACCCTTTGTTGGCAATGTCAGGAATCAAACTTTTTCTGTAAGTCTTCACAACGTTTTCACAGACTGTTGCTGGTATTTTGGCCCATTACTTCATGCAGATCTCTTTTAGAACAGTCATGTTTTAGGGCTGTCACTGGGCAACACAGACTTTCAACTCCCTTCCAAGATTTTCGATGGGGTTGCGATCTAGAAACTGGCTAGGCCACTCCGGGACCTTGAAATAGGAAGTGTGTTTGGAATCATTGTCGTTTCATCTTCAATGGTCTTGCTGATGGAAGCAGGTTTTAACTCAAAAACTCACAATGCATGGCCTCATTCATTCATATATTTACACGGATCAATCGTCTTGGTGCCTTTTCAGAAAAATAACCCCAAAGCATGATGTTTCCAGCCCAAGTAGGCCCTGAAAAAATAACAGTGTACATCAGCATACATACGCAGAGGATATAAAAAAAAAAATATTTTTCAAGGGCTTTTTGATTAATCACATCTCACCCAATCATTGAAGTCATCATATCATTTAGTGTTTAATGAATCAATCAATCAATCAATCTTTATTTATAGGGCGCTTTTCCTGCACAGGGCAACACAAAGCGCCTCACAGTCCACACCACACAATGCACAAATCATCACCATTAAAATACAATTAAAAACACATATGTAATTAAAAAGCATTAAAATCACATAAGTAATTTAAAAACATAAGAATCACACAAGTAATTAAAAACAATAAATTAGTTAAAAACACAAAAAGTTACAACAATAAATAACAAGGTGTGTTAAAAAGATAAAATTCTTTAGTTGTATGCACAGGAAAAAGGAAAAGTCTTTAACATGGATTTGAACATTGACAGAGAGGCAGCCAGTCTCACATCCTCAGGAAGACTGTTCCAGACTTTAGCTGCATAAATCTGAAAAGCAGCCTCCCCCTGTCTAGTCCTGACTCTGGGCACTAACAGGAGTCCCGTCCCTGTGCTCCTCAGAGTCCGGGCTGGTTCATATGGGACTAGCATATCATGGATGTACTTTGGTGCAAGGCCATGGAGAGACTTGTACACCAGGAGAGCTGCTTTAAAGTCTATCCTCTGGGCCACGGGAAGCCAGTGCAGAGACCTGAGGACCGGACTAATGTGGTCGTACTTCCTGGTTCTAGTCAGGACTCGGGCTGCAGCATTTTGAATATACTGCAGCTGTTTTACTGCATGTTTGGAGATACCTGTGAGCAGGCCATTGCAGTAATCCAGCCTACTGGAAACAAAAGAATGGATAAGAATCTCCAAGTCTGCTTTGGACACAATATTTTTAATTTTGGCAATATTTTTCAGATGATAAAAAGCTGCTGATGTTACCGATCCAATGTGGCTATTGAAGTTTAAGTCAGAGTCATTATTACTCCCAGATTTCTGACCTTATTTAAAGGCCTTAGGGAGAGAGACTGAAGGTGATAAATGACGGTCTCTCTTTGTTTCTCGGGACCAAAGACAATTATTTCGGTTTTGTCTGCATTTAGCTGGAGAAAATTGTATTGCATCCACTCACTGATCTGTTGGATACAGTGAAGGAGTGAGTCCACTGGTCCATGTTCTCCTGCAGTCAGTGAGACATAGATCTGAGTGTCATCAGCGTAATTGTGGTAGGACACTTTCATACTTTGAATTAACTGACCTAATGGCAGCATGTAAATATTGAACAGGACAGGTCCCAGAATCGACCCCTGTGGCACTCCGCAGGTCAGGGCCATATTATCTGAGACATAGTCTCCAATCTCCACACAATACTTCCTTTCTTCTAGATAGGACCTAAACCAGCTTAGGGCGGTACCAGCAACACCAACCCAGTCCTCCAGTCTCTGCATGAGAATCTCATGGTCAACGGTGTCGAAAGCGGCACTCAGATCTAACATGACTAAAACAGAGACTTTTCCTGCATCAGTGTTAAGCCGAATATCATTTGTTACCTTGACTAGAGCGGTCTCAGTACTGTGGTGTGGTCTAAAGCCAGACTGAAACATGTCAAATGAGTCATTAGATATTAAAAATTCAGTAAGTTGTTGGTAGGCAACTTTTTCAAGAATTTTTCCCATGAATCATGTTTTGAACATCCCATAGACCTAAACATGATGCAAAGACATTTTATGATTCTGATAAATCGATGATCACTGCAGAATGAAATGAATGAAATATTTACTGGCTTTACAGGATCTAAAAAACCAATTGATTAATTGAAAGATTAATCAACCAACTAATTCATTAATCAAAAGATATCATTATTTACAGCCCTTGTATTTTCAAACATTCGTCAACTTTCTTTCAAAAATGTAATATCTCAACAATATTCATAAAATCATATGGAAATCAATCATACTTGTGCTAACGCCTGTCTCTAATTGTCTTGATCTGAGGATAAATAGCAGTCAACATAATATAATATGTATAACTATGACAATACAATAAATGATATAGACCACTTCTACAGACATGTAAACCTACGTAAAGCCATTATGTTTTTCAACTTTTTTGGTCTTTGTGGCCTCATGTTTTGCTAAGCTCTTAGGCTAAGCTTGTGACATATATCTCGGTGCATGAGTGACCGAGCGAGTGCCTTTTCCTTCTCTGCCATGCATCAGCTGAGAGGCCTCAGGAAGAAGCCCACTCTAAAGCAGGGTCATGGTTAATCTCCAACCTGCTGTGAAGTGGGTCAGTGCCTCAAACTCCTGTAGACGGTGGAAACATAGACACTTCAAAGTACAGTCAGCAATATAATGTATCAAAAAATATATGTACCCGTTCTCATTTGGTTAATTTTTAGGGCTGCAATGAGTAGTAATGCTTTGGAGAAGACTTCAATGGCTCCAAAGTGAGAAATTTGCCCCTAAAAGTGTTTGTTTTTCTAATTGTTAAGTATTTTTCATGAAAAAAGAAATGTATCTGGAAGTTAGCTGGATGACATTTTGGGCTGGACAATCTGGAGGGAAAAATTATCCCCAAAAAAGGTTCTCAATTTTTATACCATAGACAGTAGACAGTAATACTTGGATACTGGCACTTGACTTATTAAAATAAAAGGTGCACATTTAAGGAAAACATTCTGCAAACGCGAATGACACATACTGTCTGTCCCTGGCTCTGTACTTTCTCCAAAACAGTGAGTTAAGGAAAAGTACAAGATGTTCTCTCTCCTATTACCCAAAAATAATAAACCAGGTAAACACAGTCTGGCCCGTAGGCCACATTTTCCGCCCCATAAGCTGTGTCTCTTGCTTTAAGCTAAAGTGACCCACTGCCAACATTTATACAGGATCAATAACATATGGATGGCACAGTAGTTATACAAAAACTGAATGTTTTATATGCACTCTGGATTTACAATGAGATTTAACATATTAAAGTGAGAGATATTATACTAAATCATTTTTTTGGAGCTTTTAATCATGTTACAACAATGGTCCCTCATCAAAAACAGACCTGGAGTTGTTTTTAGATTTATTTGGTGGGCCACACGAATATCAGGAACCTCTGGCACAAACATAACTCTGCTCTTTCTACGGGTAGTACTGTAGTTTATCACACTGACAGAAGCGAGGCAACTTGTATGTGCCATCGGCCCCTCCGACCACCACCAACCATTCACACACACTAGACTCATTCTAGGCAATGGGTGTGAAGTGTCTAGCCTAAGGACACAACGACAGTTTGGCACTTTATAGACA